GCCTTCTCACTCTCCCACTAGCTCACACACTACCCTTTAGACAGACTCCACTCTGGTGGAATGCCATTTGAACCATTTCATCTGGGAAGACCTAACCACTTCCTCAAGATGTGATTTTTCTTTTTTGATTCTTAAGTGAAGTGGCTCAGTTAATTGATAAAGGATCAGTCCTATGATAAAGAATCAAAGGGGATAATCCTTTTTTTTTAATAAAAACTCCTCCAATATTTTAAAGATGCAAACCTGTGCCTTTTCACGGCTGGCAGTGATGCTGCTGATGAGAAAAACCTCCCTAGACCAAGATGATCTATCCAAGATCTATTTATTTTTCCATAATCCTTCTGTTTATGTGTTCTTCAATGACTAATGAGGCCAATCTGGAACTGGCATATTTTGCCACAACTTAGACAGATGGTTTCAGTATATGTACATAAAGAAAGTAATGTTGAAAATGTGAAAACAAAGATATATTTTGTACTATTATGAGTGTTTCTAAGAAAACAAAGATAAAATAACAAGGAGGCATGAGAAGGTTTCAATGTTACTAAACCATACCACATAATTCTTCTTCCTTAGAAGACTCTGTCTTCTCAACATCAGGTATGAAAATCCTTGTGTGTATGTATATGTGAATATATATGCATATGTATATATATATACATATATATAATATATTTAGCCCAAACACTTGGGTAAAGTCTAAACATATGCTGTAGTCATTGCCTTAGAAAGCTTGCATAAGCAATATTAAGTGAACTGTTTCTGATAAAAAATATGACCTCACTCCAAACCCAGGCACTTTCTAGAATTGAAGCAAATCCAAATATTTCTGGTCAATTTGAAATACAAACAAGTCTGTCTATTTTTCATGTCTATAGATGACATTTTTCTGAATCTTCTACTCTAATCTAGTTATTCAAAATTTAGACGGGTTTCTCTTGTACGAGAAACCCTAGGAATCTTGGGTTGTTGCAATTCTTAATGCTAAGGGCCTAAAACACTGAAGACACATTTATTTAATCGTTTATTTTTTCACTTTGGTGTGCTGAACAAATACTCACTCAACACGCCATTACATATGACAAGATCAGATCATGGGTGATGCAAAATTTTAACGAATATATTCACCTTGGAGGTGGAGAGATAGCACAGCAGGTAGGGTTATTGCTTGCACGTGGCCAACCCGGGTTCGATTCCAAGAATCCCATATGGTCCCCTGAGCACCGCCAGGAGTAACTCCTGAGTGCAGAGCCAGGAGTAACCCCTGTGCATCACCAGGTGTGATCCAAAAAGCAAAATATATATATATATATATATATATATATATATATATATATTCATCAGCCTTGTCTTCGAGAAGGGCTAGAGCGATAGCACAGCGGTAGGGCGTTTACCCTGCATGCAGCCAATATGGCCAACCCGAGTTCAATTCCTCCGCCCCTCTCAGAGAGCCTGGCAAGTTACTGAGAGCATCTCGCCCGGACAGCAGAGCCTGTCAAGCTACCCGTGACGTATTCGATATGCCAAACACAGTAACAAGTCTCACGATGGAGACGTTACTGGGCCCACTAGAGCAAATCGATGAACAATGGGAGGGCCGTGACCGTCTTCGAGAAACTAACAGGTACATTAACACATTTTATGATACAGTAAGAAAAAAATGTATAGTTCCTTAGAAAGTATTGGGGGTTTTCTGCTAATGGCTTTGGTAGAAGGAAGTACAGAAGACAAGAGAGGAAAGATTTGAAGCATAGTAAATTGCCTTGAGATACATCGCCTTGAAATTTGTGCCATACTAGTGCCATTACTAACAAATCAACTACGCACTTAGTCATTTGTTTTGGTAGAAAAAACAAGAATTGTGTATGGCTTTTGATTGCTTGTGTACTATTAGTTACTAGATCCTTTGATAGAACAAAGAAGGCTGGAAAGAAAAGAGATGTGCAGTGGGCCACAAGTTCACAATTCATACACCATTGCAGTGAAACTCTCCAAAATTTCAGAATTCTAAATTTTAAGTTGAATATATCTAGGTCATTGGGAAGTTATGGGGCTTTGGGATAAAAAAAAAAATATTTTGTATTTTTAGACAGTGGTAGGGCGTTTGCCTTCCACGCAGCCAACATGGCCGACCCAAGATCGATTCCTCCACCCCTCTTGGAGAGCCTGGCAAGCTACCCATGGTGTTTTCGATGTGCCAAACACAGTAACAACAAAAGTCTCCAATGGAGATGTTACTGGACCCGCTCGAGCAAATCGATGAATAACGGGAGGACAGTGACAGTGACAGTGAATTTTTAATTAACATGAATGAAAAGAAATTATTTTTCTATTCTAGGCCTATACATTTACACATTGTGTATAGTTAAGAAGCTAGTTTTGAGCATCATAGGCTTGTGCATGCCAGACTTCTGGTCTGTAGAGTGATATTTCCTCAGAATCCCTGTAGGTATTCATCTATTTGTTTCAAATTGATTCCTTTCAAGTAACCACAGTGAAAAGTTTCCTTCTTATACTTACTTGCTACTTTCAGTGTACTTGTATCTACATTGAGATGATTTGAAACGGTGGGTTTAGGTGGTTTCATAACATGGTACCTGATCTTTGAAACTGGATGGTCTTCAATTTTCTGAAAAATAACATAATAGGAGATATGAAAGGGTTGAGTCCTTCCTCTCACAGGGTTATTTTGAAGATTGAAATTAGGGTCAATATGTAAAGAATTAAGGAACTATGCCTGATTCGTGGTGAGTATTTAATAAAAGTTGCCTTAAAGCACACTCCTATTTAAATCATAGTAAAGGACAGAAATAATATTTTTATTCAAAGTAGCATTTTTACTTCTAACACAGCACACAAAACACAGCATTCATTCACTAAATAAGTGATTGGATGACTAAACGAAACATTTAAAAAACTGATTTAAGTAGCCTGCAAAAGATTTCCCTGGCTTCTCAAATTTCTTAATGGTTCTTAAATAAGTGGCTCAAAAATGAAAGATTTATGTATGTTAGAAATGTGGGCCAACACACATAATTTTATCTGAACAAAGGGAGTCAAAACTTATTATTATTTACAATGAAGACTTGATGTCTGGGAAAGTAGAGCATACATATAAATAGCATAGACACTTTCTAGAACAAAGTATCTTAAAGTTTCTTAGGAAAATGGAGCCACCTACAGGACAAGTTAATTTACAATGAAATAAAACAAAACTTTGATTAGTTATGGAAGAGGAAGGTTTTTTTGTTTGCTTGTTTGTTTTCCATTTTTTCGTTGGTTTAATTTTTTTTGCTCTTTTTTATTATAATTATATGGCTCTAGTTTTTTAAAAAGAATCATATCCAGAATATGACGTGTGAAGTTCTGGTTTGACACCTGGCATTGCATGGCCACCAACACCCAGTATAGCCCAGAGTGTCTCCAGGATGACTTGCCAGCAATATATAAACAAATAAATATTAGAATAGCATATTCACTGTAGAACCTAAAATTAAGGAAATGTAAAGAAGACTCTGCCCTAAGTTAGAATGATTCCTGACTGAATTGCCTGAGGGAAAAGGAGAGTAGAGAGGCTGACATTAGATTTGTTAAAACCATCAGGTCCTCACAAAGCGTTGAAAGAGTCTGATTCAGTTGTAACTTAATGACTCTGTGAAAGGACATCACTCATTCACTTATTGCAGCTGAATATACTGGCAGAGGGACAGATCCACGGGGGTTCCGGGGCCGAGATCTCCAAGCCTACTCGGATTGGAGTCGAGCATCCTCCACCCAGATCCTCCAAATTCCAGTAGGCGGGGGTCACACCCACCACCTGGCCCCCTGGCGCCGTGTAATCCCATCAACGGCCAAGACTCAGAGACTATAAAATCCAGCTCCCGGACGAGAACAGTGCAGTTTCCTGCCCCAGCGCCTGGCTGTTCCTCGCCGGGGCCCCTTGGGGGGGAGCGGGTTGAGCTTATCAGGAAATCTTTTTATGACATCTTATTATCTCATTCCTACTTTGGACAAACTTGCAGGCTATCGAATGTAGCCTGCCCACAGGGCAGAGTCTGGCAAACTCCCCGTGGCGCACCAAATATGCCAAATACCAGTAACAATGATGGGTCTCATTCTCCTAAAGAGCCTTGAATATAATCTCAGGGCTAGGATGAAGGAGACGTTACTGGGGCCTGCTCGAGGCAATCGACGACTAACAGGATGATGAAATGAAATGAAAATGAAATATATATATATATATGTGTGTTTGTGTGTGTGTGCACGAAGGAATGAAAGGAAAAACAAACCCAGATTAACTTTCCTGATGGAGCACTGTTACTTTCTAACATTATATAGGATCCAAGTGTACAGCATTATAAAATCAGCATTTGCATATATTGCATTATGTTCACAAAACCCTGGTTTTTATCTTTTATCATACAATTCACCCCTTTGACCCATTTTTATTACTGCCTTTCCTCTTCTGCTCTGATTACCTCTATTTCTTCAAAGCGTTTGTTTTCTAGAATACCCTTTTGAGGTAGGATTTATTCATCCCAGTTATCAAGCAGGAAAAATGAGGTAGGTGCTGAGTAGGTCTGTTTCAAGTTCTTTTGTGTCACCAACCTAGCAATTTGGCTGAGGTTTCTGTCTCTGACTTTCTGACTTGTCGTTCTTACATGCACCCAAAGTAGGGTGCATTACAATAGTAAGTAAAGTAAAGGCCCTCCCGTTGATCATCGATTTGCTCGAGCGGGCCCAGTAACGTCTCCATTGGAGACTTTGTTGTTACTGTGTTTGGCATTTCGAATACGTCATGGGGAGCTTGCCAGGCCCTGGCGTGAGGGCGAGATACTCTCAGTAGCTTGCCGGGCTCTCCGAGAGGGGCGGAGGAATCGAACTCGGGTCGGCCATGTTGGCTGCGTGCAAGGCAAACGCCCTACCGCTGTGCTATAGCACAGCATTACAATAGAGATTTATTATTATTAATAAGTCTTTTTTAATTTTTTAATAATGAAACCACTCAGACTGTACCCTCCTTCTCCCTCTTCCAGAAGAAGAGAACAATCATTAATGGTAAAGGTAGCTGCAAAAGCAATCCTAGAACCTACTTCCTGCTCAGGAGAGGGATACCCTGGCACTTCCTCATGTTTTTGGGTGCTCTGCATGATCATAGAAATCTCTATAGTAACGAACCATAGAAATGATCCCTGAACCTATGGTCTATGCATAAGTCTTAATTCTAAAATCGAAGATGAGATTGGTTCTTTTATAACTAAGTATATGTAATTTTTAAAGATGTTTAAACTGTACTCGTTTTTACTAGTCAGGTGTTCTTGGGCAAATTCATTACTATCTCTTAGACGCTATTTCTTTGGGGCTGGAGAGATAGCACAGCGGGTAGGGCGTTCGCCTTACAAGCGGCCAACATGGCCGACCCGAGTTCGATTCCTCCGCCCCTCTCGGAGAGACCGGCAAGCTACCGAGAGTATTCGATATGCCAGACACAGTAACAACAAAGTCTCCAATGGAGACGTTACTGGGCCCGCTCGAGCAAATCGACGATCAATGGGAGGGCCTTTACTTTTTTACTAGACGCTATTTCTTTAACTGTTAAGTACTGCTAATAGTTCACCTTTTGTTTTGAAGATTTCAAGAGACCATCTCTATGAAGTACCCAGATATAAAGTAAAATAAAATGAACGTATGGTGAGAGTCAAATTGAATAAAGATTGAATAGAGCTATCAGAAAGATAACTCAGGACATAGAGCACACGCCTATCACTGTATGCCCCCCCTCCCTATCTAGGTGTGGACCTAGTGTCCCTGAACAATATAGGGTCTAGGCAATAAGTTATCAAATTTCTACTGCAAGCATCTCCAGTAGTGTCCCCTTGAGTCCTGAGCCTTGTAATAAAAAGAAAAAATACATGCATAAAACAAGGTCCATGCTTTAATACAAAAGAACACAAAATATACTTATTTGTGCCTTTTACCCAATAACAATTCTAAATGGTCCCTGTGCTGTAACTTAAGTAAATATAATTCAATACAGGAAAAAGAGGGAGGCATTTGATAAAACACGTACAGCATCAAAATAAGGGTTCAACTAATTCAGATTCTGAAAGCAATTTGTATTTGGTTTTCAAACTTCTGCAACCTCTCAGATATCGGAAGCCTTGAAACAGCATTGAGTCACTAAGCTACAGATTGGACATGAGTATAAATAAATACATATATTTAAAAAATTAAACAAAACACTGGAATCTACCAAGAAGTTAAAATCTTGAAAATGTCTCTGCAAAATTGGAGCAGTCACTTCCATGCTTCCTCTAGCATCTTTTCATTATTTTTCTGCTCTGATATAAACTCCCTGTCCCCAATGCAGAACTTCTCAAGCCTTGTGAGGTTTCCCCCATCTTTCATTCACTTTTTTTCTATTTCCCTTCCATTAAATCATCTCCATTATTTTCTTTTTATTTTTATCACCATCAAATATCAACTGTTTCACAAATATCTACAGTCCAAGACACAGGGCAATTGAACACTGCCACAAGGGGAAATATTTATATGTTTGAGGTGGAATCTTAATAAATCAGCTTTTGATTAAGTGTATGATTATTTATCAGCAGATGTTAGATTTGTACACCTGTTTTATAGACCCAGGGTGTGTCAAAATGTCTCACATGGAAAAAAATTTAAGAAGCCACTGTCTAGGGCAGGTGAAACTATTTTATTTTATTTTATTTTATTTTTGAATCACCATGAGATAGAGTATTACAAAATTGGCCATGATTGCACTTCAGTTAGACAATGTTCCAACACCCGTCCCTTCACCAATGTAATTTTCCAGCACCAGTGTCCCCAGTTTCCCTCCCACCCCTTCAAGCCATCCTCACCCCAGTCTGCCTCTATGGCACGCACCTCTTTTGTCTCTCTTTCTCTTTCTAATTTTAGGCATTATGGTATGCTATACAGATTTTATTTGTATTTTTAATTTTTCCAGGGACTTGTAATGAATATCCAAGAGCAAAACATGAGCTCATTGATATCCCTTCACCAACATAGAAACACGCAGGTAATGCCAGTTGGTAAGGTTATAGCACTTCCTTTTTATATGTGTCAGTTAGAAGATGCCCAGTTATGCTTGAGGGCCATGCGTGAGGTGCCAGGGATTGAATCAGGACTTTGATCATGTGGGGCATATGTACTTTACCTCTTGAGTTAAACCTTCAAGCCTCCAACTCATATCATTTATTAAGCGGCAAAATCAGGACACACTCTAATTATTTAGCTGAAAATCTCTTCCCACTATCTGTGGCAAAAGAGTTCCTAACACATTACTGCTATTTCCAGAGCATTTGCTGAGCATATTTTAAAGTTTGCTTGGCTTAAGAATCAAATCATTCTCACCCATCAGCTTCTGCAGGTGTCAAGAACTCACACTGTTACTACATTGTGAAGCAAGATTAGCAATATTTGTCCACCTGAGTCCGATAGAATATAGTAATTTTCCATGCCTGAGGTCCAAATGAAGAGAAAGATGACCAGAGACTAATTGTGAACTACAAACAAGGATATTTCAGTCACTCTGATTTGCATATCCAATTACACTATTTTCTGGTATACTACACCAGCATTTTGATTAATGTTACTTTCTTGGCTAGTTCTTCAGTTGCAGCAACACACAGATTTCTGTCTACATGTACTATTAACTGTCATCTGAGCTTCCCACTCAAGGCAGCAGATAATTACACATTTTGGAAGCTGGGTGTCACAACTAATTAACTTGACAAGCTTAGGATGATTTAGGTAGAAATGAAGACTTTACAAACCTATTTTGTGGTATCCCAGTGTAAATAGAGAGGTGATTAAGTGCAAGAACTACAATAAAATAAAACTGGCTTAAACCCAGGCATAAGAGGATTGAAGAGAAAAATTTTGAGCTTTGGAGCCAAAGGGGTCAAAGTTCAAATCCCTGCTCTACTACTTACTAGTTGAAAGGTCTTTTCCCGGGCATTTATATGTTCTACTCATTTAAATGTCTATGAAATTAATTTGTAAATATAGGTTTGCTTGGAAGAAAATATTGAAACTTGTATTTTTAACAGACTAACTTAAGAAATGGAACTGATCAATAATCTTCAAATTTGCAAAACTTAACTTTCTTTCTCCCCACGGAACTGCAAACTTCTCTTAATCATCCTCTTCATTTCATTTCCTCTATTGTCTCACTTACCTGTATACAGATTTCTCTAGCTACCTAAAGTAGAATGTCCCTATTAAATCTTTTATAAGATAAAATTATATAAAGTAAAGCAACAACTACTATTAATTTACCTGAAAAAATGAGCAATCCAGGAAGCAAAAAAGAAAACCATACAACACATAAAACATAAGAGCATATAAAACTTAAAATAACGCATACACTGAAGGCAGGAATGCTATGGTGTATGCACAATCTATAGAAAGTAACTCCAGGCTGCACACTGCTTCCGGAATGGTTATTGTAAAATAAATAGTGTTCACCTTTTCTTCTAACAATGAAAATCTTTCCTGGGTTTCTTTAAGTTGGGGAAAAGCAGGTACTAAATTAGTTTTTTCCTTAAAAGTCAGGACAAACCAAAACGTTCCAAAAATGGACTCCCATACACGTGCTCAAATACATTTTTTACTGAAATCTAGAACATATAATACATGCATCTTCTTGGCTTTACTTATCCATTTGTTCTACACAGTGTCTAGAATTAGTTCCTAGTAATGTATGTGGCTAGGACAATTTACAGTTCGTATTATACAGTGTTTCACTGATTGAATAGAAACATTGTAGGCAACAATTCTACCAGCAATAACCAGATAAGATGCCTGGAATAGAAATCTATTACAATGGACATTTCTGTAAAGTTTTGTCCATCATATCACAGTCGATTTTTCTAAAGCAGAAGTCAGCAAAATGCAGCCCAAGAGCTAAACCCACTCTGCTATCAGTTTTAGTAAATTTAGTAAAGCTTTATTGAAAAATAACCACTATTTGACGTCTGAGCTGTAGCTTCTTTCCATCAAACCAATGAAAGATTCCATGTGCTCTATTGAATGTTCCTTTTCTCTAGTCTCCATCCCCAAATTCTGTGTTATTCCAGTCAAAAAGGACTAGATTATTTTTTCTTTTTTCTTAATGGCCATGGTATGCTTCAGTGGCCAAAAGTGTCTCATCACAAGCATGAGTCCATGAATTCAATCCTCATCGTCATCCATTGACACAGAACATGGTCTTAATGGCTCTGTTGTCCAGAATCCCCCTGGGTGCAATGGAGTGTGTGAATGTGAGTCCTACAACCAAGCGTGTGACCCTCAAACATTGCAACAAAGGCAAGAAGGAAAAGAAAGTGGGGGGAAATGAATAAATCAGGAGTGGTATGAAAAAGACATGAATGCAGTATTCACATATTCTGAATGTAAAGAGAAATCAGTATGTTCATTCTGGGTATAATCCTTTAGGTCTGACCAACAGAAATAAAGGTAAAGAATGCTATTTGAAATAAAGTAGGGTTACTCTTTTTAGATTTCTACCTCCTGCTTCCCATACTTCTTAATTATGTAGATGAATTACTCAGTAGGAATACTCCTGTCTCTTGATGCTGAAGCAACTTAGTCTATAAAAAAGTAAAAGAAAAAAATAATAAAGCATGTTCTTTAAGAAATTTTGTGGGCTAGTCTGATCAAGTATGTTACTAGAACAAAAATGCCAAAAACCTTACTTTGTCTGAGAATCTGGAAGAATGTGCTGTCTCCCATCTTTACACAAGATTCCAATCCTATGTCTTGGAGCCTCACTGGGCAGCCCTGGAAGTAACTTCATCTTAAAGCCTGTTATTTGCTTCTGGAAGAAAAATGTTGGTCCCCAGTAAATACTAAGTGTGGCTTGTGGGAAATCCTTGGAACTTGAAGCCTTAGAGATCATCCTTGGGAAACTTTCACAGTGCTTCCCTGACTTCTAGATAGATTTCAAGCAATTTTCTGCTTGGACATGTTATAAACAGCAATTCATTCAGTCATCCACTTCCATTTCTTTTCCATTAAGGAATTTATAAACGGAAGTGACAAAATGAAGGGTATAGTCATGTGGAAGTGAATCTAAAACATTTCTTACCCTAAGGATAGCAACACCTATAATATTTGCAGGGCTCTGTGAAAAAGGAAATGCAAAATCACTTTCTTAAAAATTT